TATGAGAAACAAACTGGCTATGAGCAGAGGCTGTGAGGTCCACCAGACCCATGAGATGGTGCCATTTACCAGCTGGGAGGACTGACTTAATTCCATGCTGAATTATTTATAAAAGAAGCAACAGTTCACTATTGATTTACAGCTGTGTCACCCCGCCCCGCTAGTCTGAGACCCCCAGGGGAGGGCAGGCACTTTGACAGTCAACTTTGCATCCCCAAGTGACAGTGCAAGAGGGGCGGGAGCCTTGTGCAATCCCACCCTCCAACATGATGGATAAGCTGGGGGTGAAAAGGGCTGATGCCCACTGGGATTTGCAAGGATGGAACTGGGTCCTGCCCCCAAGCCTGGGAAAGGATCTTGGGACCCTCTGGTCATGACTGAAGAGGGGATTCCCCAGATGCCAGTGAGGGCAGGCACAGAGTCCTGAGTCCACACTTATTATTTAACAAAAGCACAAGACAGAGAACTCCCAACAGTCCTATCTGGGTGCGGGGCAACAGGGTCTATCTAGGTTTTAGAACTGGGATTTGAGAACAAAAGAATCAAACTTGATTGGCTGAGAAAGCAGGGAGAGTGGACTCACAAAAGTCCATCTTTTGTGAGCACCAACCAGCTACAGGTCAGTGGTCATGTGGAGCTGGTGACCATCTCGAGTGAACATTTTAAGGGGGCTGTGGGCCCACAGCTCCAGTTTGAACCAGCCTGAGCTCAGGTCAGTTGCACTTTTCTTCCATAGCAGCCATCTTGAAAGCTGTGAAGCAGATAGCTGAGGAATGCTAGGCTAGGGAAAGTGTAACAAAAGCAATGAGCCAAGGAAATTGATGACAGCAGGTGTCCAGGCCCAGAGTTAAGGGTTTGTTAAACCTCTGATACTTATCAGCTCATGGGAATAGCAAAGAGCGGTCTTTCAGTCCTTGCCTGGGAACCCTTCCTCTCTCACTCTGTCCTGGCACTTCCCCGCACCCCCAGCTACTCTGCTTCCCCCTCCTGCAGACCTCAGGCTCTAAGAAGTCCATTCCTGTTGCCTCCACTATGCTGAGTTCTGCGGGGAATGGATATCTGGAAATCCACAGTGCCTGCCTGGCTTGTCAAGCGAATGTGATAAGACCAGCAGATACCTAGAGGGTCTCTAAGAATAAACTGAAAGGCCATTTCAAATACATGAATGAGGAGGCAACACCAGATGGTATATGATCAAGTGGTAAATTATATACAATCAAGGGCAAAATGGGTGGTGCAGAAATTAGATGGTGAGGGTGGCCAACCTAGAGATCCCCAGAGCCAGGCCAGGATCCAGACTGGTGAGGTGGGCACAGACAGGAGACAGGAGGCAGCATCTCATCTCCAAGACAACCCCTGCTCAAGTGTATAGCTTCGTTGCCATCCTAGAATATGAGCCTATGGGCTCCTATCTTTAGCTTTCTTAAGTAAAACTGGAAATGCTTTTTTATGGGAGAGTTCCCAAACTTCCAAATTGTCAACAACTGAGTTAAATGTACAAAGCAATTATCCTGAGATGAATCAAGCATGCCTGGGTCCTGCGTAACCTCTGCCCCAGAGCTCTGGGAGACCTGACAAAGGGGAGCTCTGCCCAGGCATTTGCAGAAGCAGCACCACAGGAAGCAGGTTTTCAAAAGGCAGCATGTCTCTCCTAGATCTTTCGTTGTTTTATAAAACCAGGAAGTAATTCTTGATCTACCACTCAGCTATAAGAAAAGACTCTTTCTATTTGCAACAACATGAATGGAACAGGAGGGGATTCTGTTAAGTGAACTAAGTCGAAAGGAGAAAGACAAATACTCATGATTGTGGAATATAGTCAAATGAGCAAAATAATAGACAAAAACAAACCCTCGAAATCAAACTGCAGAATGGAATCTACCAGAAAAGGAAGATGTGGAACAAACTTTCTTTGTTGTGGGGGAGTGATAGGCTGTTGTGGTTGAGAGTTAAGCTTGGTGGTGGGTGTGGCATGTGACATACATCTGAAGAGGTGTGAACACCTACCCCTAAATCATGGAGTGTTGCAAACCATTGTTACCTCAGTGAAAAACACACACACACAGAGAATTAAAAAACAATGCTTGCTTGGCCCTCCTTGGTGGCACAACGCCTTAGGACACAGCACTGTAAGCACTGCAGGCGGGTCGCAGCAGCTTCAGTGAGAGTTCAATCCCCAGCCCTGGAGGTGACCACATGGCGTGGAAGACATCTCCTGTCCACCCGCTGCTCCCTCAGCAGTGTACTCCATTAATCTGCCTGTCCTGCTCCCCACTCTGTCTCTGGTGAAGCCTCTCACGTCCTCTGTGCCTCTGGCTTGTACCCCAGTTCTGTATGCATAATAATCTTTAATAACAACAACAACAAAAAGTGGCTCCTTTGAGTGACAGCAGTTCCTAATCTCAGAGTCCTGAATCATCCATGATTACTATTCCAAGCCTAACTCCTATCTACACTTACCTGGGAATGACACAAACTCACTTAACACCAGCCCCCTATGGCGTGTTTTAACCAGAAGTCCCCCAGGGGATGCATCCTGTCACAGCTACCTGAAGCTGGTCAGAAAATACTTACACCTAATCTGTAGGTGCACAGAAGTCTCTTTTTGGTCTAACTTATACTGTGATCTTAGACTTGCTGCAGGACTAACTTCTATCACAGCCCTGCCGATATTGATTGCTCGGGCTCAAAAGTACATAAGTAGATTGATTTTTCCCCTCTCAAACTAAAAAGGATCACAGTAGTGTTAGTACACCCCTGCTTCCCCTGGTTGGTATACATACTGAATAAATAATAGTGTTACCTGGAAAAATTCAGTCAAAAGAAACAAGGATGGAAAGCAGGGCAGAGGAGGTGTTAGATTGCATTCGTAATTCCAACCAGAAGCAGACCCGTGAAAGCCTAAACGTGTGTAGTGTGTATTGTCAACCCTGGGTTCCCAGTCTAATATTTTTTAAAACAAACAAACAAACAACACTTAGTAACCTACATCTTAGGTCAAGACAGGATACCAGCAAGGAGGAGGAAGTATCCTCTTGAGGTTAATAGGCAATACTTTTCTCCAGTCATTTCCTTCTGTAAATCAGCAGAAAGGAAATATATCCACCAGAGGTCTCTGCTAATTTGTTCTGAATTTAACGACAATTAGGCAATTCCTACACCCTATACCCCCAAGAAAAACAGCTAGAGCTGAAAGTTTTCTCTCACTGGGAACGAGTAATTCTCGAAACAGCAACAGAGGTTATGAAATCAACTTTGTGCTAAGTTCAAGGGCCACCGAATAAAGAGAGCGCCGACTTGGGAACAAGTCAGTAGTGAAGTCTTCCCCTTCTGTTTCAGATTTTTTTCTTCCTTTCTGTGATCCCCACCCCACCCCACCCCAGATGAAAGTTTCACAGCACTCCTTCTGGAAATACTTCTAAACTGAAGCACTACTCGGGCTGGGCTGGCCCAGTGAAAAATTCCTTTCTGTGACTTTTGACAAGAAATCGGTCCTCAGAAAGGAAAGAAACAAATGTCTGGGGGCTCCCTCAAGACTGTTCCCCACCCCTTCCAGCTACAGTGGGAAAGAGGAGAGCAGAGGCAAAAGAGAACACGAAACGCGCCTCTCCCTCAATGCTCTCAACGCTGGCAGGTGGCGTTTGCCTTCCAACTTCTTTTTAAAGTCGCAGGTCGGGGAGATTCCGAGTAAGCAGTGAGGACCCCGCCGCAAGCCGTGGCTCTAGCAAGGTGATCTACTCCGTACGCAGAAGCTGGCACAGGGCCAACACACCCAGGCAGGGGGGTCAGGTACGCAGAAATTTAAAGGGGCTCCGGCGAGGGGGCGTGGCCTGGGCGGAGCCCGCGGCCCGCGGGGGTGGGGCGAGGGCGGGGATCCCGACGGCTCCGCGCCGTGTGGGAAAGACCTGGGCGAGCGAGCGAGCGCCTGTCTCTTTAAATGCCAGGGGCTGCGCTCCCGCCCCGGGAGCCTAGAGCCGGATCTACAATCCCGTCCCTCCCGCCCCGGCGCTTGTTGCTCGCCCGCCCGGCCCGAGCGGGAGCTGCTGCCGCCGGGCCGCTAGCCCGCCTTCCTCTCACCCTTCTCGCGCCCCACCTCCTCCAAGAGCAGCCTGAGGGGGGAGCAGCAGCCCCGGGAGGAGGCGGGGTGCGGTGTGACCAAGCGTTGCCCCCCCACCTGCAAGTCTTGAGGTGCTACGTTTCGGTGAGGACAAGACATGCATCGCCCTCCCCAGCCCGACCTCGCCGTCGCCTACGCCGCTAGAGGAGGGACTGCGGAGCCCACACCTGCAAACTCGCCCTAGAAGTCTCAGGGTGCAGTGGGGCGCCCCTCCCAATTCCACCCAGCCGCCACCTCTCAGCGGGTGAGTTTGCGCAGGTAATCTGAGCTCCGGGCGGCCGCGAGGGGGAGGGGCGGGCAAGACGGGCGAAGGCGCCGCAGGTGAGCCAGGTAGGGTGGCTCACCTGCCCGGTCTGCGTAGCGCGAGTCTAGCGGGTTTCCCCCGGGAAGGAGGCGCGGGGAGGTCGTCTCGCAGAGGCTAGCACAGAACCCTGGGGTGGGTGGAGGGCTTAGGATGAGGGAGATTGGAGTAAAGTTTCTCTTCTTTACCCCCTCCTGCCTGGGCTTGGCAGGTGGGGCGCTGGCGGAAGCGGTTGGAGTTGCTGATGCAATGGGCTTTTGCCCAGGCGAGGTGGGTGGCTGGGGGCGGGGGAGGGGGTGCTGGAGTTGCCTGGCTTCCTTTGACCGTGACCCTAGAGGTGGAGGAAAGAGGGGAGGCTCTTAACATCCAAGACGCCTCTTAAAATGGCTCCAGGTGCTCGGCCACCAACCTTTCTTTCTTCTCTAGTAGCAGCCGCCTTTTCGCGGCAGGGCTCCTACATGGCCTCCTTGCCTTCCTTTCCCAACAGGTGGTATCAGCCCCTGCCCGGGGACCTGTGCCAATGACCCTGGTGGTGGTTTCGCTTTCTCCCTTCGCGGCGGTGTAACGTGTGTCCACGGCGTGATGGGCAACCAGGTGGAGAAACTGACCCACCTAAGTTATAAGGAAGTTCCCACGGCCGACCCGACCGGCGTGGATCGGGACGACGGGCCCCGCATCGGGGTCTCCTACATCTTCTCCAATGACGATGAGGACCTGGAGCCGCAGCCGCCGCCCCAGGGGCCGGAGAGTGGGGGGTTGCCAGATGGCGGGGACGGACCGCCGCTGCCAGCGCCGCAGCCCTACGACCCGCGGCTGCACGAGGTGGAGTGTTCCGTTTTCTACCGCGAAGAATGCATCTACCAGAAGAGCTTCGCCCCGGGCTCCACGGCTCTGAGCACCTACACGCCGGAGAACCTGCTCAACAAGTGTAGGCCTGGCGACCTGGTGGAGTTCGTGTCGCAGGCACAGTACCCGCACTGGGCTGTCTACGTGGGCAACTTCCAGGTGGTGCATTTGCACCGGCTGGAGGTGAGCAACAGCTTCCTGACGGACGCGAGCCAGGGCCGGCGCGGCCGCGTGGTCAACGAGCTGTACCGCTACAAGCCGCTGAGCCCCAGCGCGGTGGTGCGCAATGCTCTGGCACACGTGGGCGCCAAGGAGCGCGAGCTGAGCTGGCGCAACTCGGAGAGCTTCGCCGCCTGGTGCCGCTATGGCAAGCGCGAGTTCAAGATCGGCGGCGAGCTGCGCATCGGCAAGCAGCCATACCGTTTGCAGATCCAGCTCTCGGCACAGCGCAGCCACACGCTCGAGTTCCAGAGCCTGGAGGACCTGATCATGGAGAAGCGGCGCAACGACCAGATCGGGCGCGCGGCGGTGCTGCAGGAGCTCTCCATGCACCTGCACCCGGCCGAGCCGGACGAGGGCGACGGCGACGCCGCTCGGACTACGCCGCCTCCTGGGCGCCCCCCTGCGCCTGGCCGGGAGGAGGAGGACCTAGAGGCCGCGGTGCACGGAAGGGAGAGCTGAGTGCACGCAGTGAATGGGAGCTGTTTGCAGCAGGCGCCCTCTGCCTCCTCACACTCCCTCCTCCACCACCGTCTGGACCCCATCTGGGCTCCCGGCCCGTTTGGAAAACTGAGAGTTGGCAGAGTGTGCAGCCAGCTGTGGCTTGAGCTTGTTAGCTTGGACGGAGGAGGAGGGAGACTGGGAGCAGGTAGGAGCACTTTGCCTGGGGGCATTTCCTGCTCTAAATCTGTCTTCCTCTCCCAGGTGGGGCAAATTGTGGTTTTGCCTGACACTTCCTGCAGAACCTGGGTCTGAAATCAACCCTTAAGAATGTGGCAATGGGGCAAATCGGGGCACCCGTGCCTGGCCTGTCATTGCCTGGCTTGTTACACTACTGGCTGGGCAGAGGTCCTGGGGAAGGAAAGCAGGAGCTGGTTTGTAAGCCAATCATCTCTTCAGCCCCTCCCTCCCAGCCTCCCCTACCCCCCATGGAGGCCAAGAGTCCTGGAGATTTATTGTGGGGTCCTGGGGTGCAAGGCTGGCAAAACCGGGATTGATCTGGAATCAGCAGATCAAAACCAAGCAGCCCCCCATGAAGTGTGAGAAATAGTGGGAGTAAACTTGGGCTACAAACAAAGATAGCCACTTCCCTCCCCTTCCTCAAGCCATTCATCTTCTGAGCTGGCTTCTAGCTGAGTCTCCTGCTCCCTCCCTTCTGCCCACCACTTCCCAGGTTACAAGTAAATCATTGTCATGGACCAGCCAGGGGAAGGATTCAATTATGGTTCTGTTTTGCCACCTTTGTTTCTTGCCTCCTGTTGTAGACACTTACAGCTGTGTTATTTGTTATCAAAGGCGGGAGTAGCTCTTGTGGCTCTGATCTAATTAAACCTGCTTGGCTGTGTTCATCATCGGTTGGCTGGCGCCACCCCATAAAATATCCACTACAGAAGCAGCGAACAGTGCTGTCCGGCAGGAATTCATCTCCTCCCCTGTTCTGAACATAACCCCCTTCATGAATGTTAAAGGATCTTGAAAGGGACGATGTTGGTGTTCCCGTGAACTCCCCACCCCATGCCCCCATTGCCAGACCCCTGCCCACTCTCATTTTTGTTTGCTGGTGGTGTGTCTTAGGCTGGAAGCAGAGTTCAGCCGTTGATATTAATTTGCTGACCACATTTGACGCAACTTAATTCTGGAAGCAAAGTCTTGGTATTTTACAGCAGTCTCCTTGTTGGTCACTTGGGGAGCACCCTTCAGAAAGCTTTCTCATTCAGGAGGGGTAACCACACACAGTGCCACCTGGTGTAATGAGCTTGGAGGCTGGTGGCGGCCCCCAGTCCGGCAGCTGTGGACAGCAGGCTGGCCCATTCTGTTTGGATCAGCTCTTGACTGAGTCTTTTAAAAACATGGAGACCCAGCCCCTGGGCCCTTGTGCCCTTTAAGCCCCTCAATTCTCTACTTCAGAGTGCTGCACACTGCCGCATAATGCTGTTTGCAAAGTTGAGTAGAGTTTTCTTCTCTTGGGAGTCATTCTGGAGTGTCCCAAATAAGTCACCCTGGGACCTGAAAGTTGAAGCAGAATCCTTCAGTGCCCCCTCCTTGCCTCTTGCCTGGAGGCACCAAGACCTGAAGGATCTGCTCTTATACCCGACTTTTCTCCAACTTGCACTGTGAGGCCAGGACTTGTAAAAGCCTAGCATTTGGCAGGACCCTGACATAAAACCATTTAACCCCAAGAGCAGTGAGGTCTGTTTCCTGTTTCGCGAGGACCACACAACCAGTCCTGTCCCTTTGACTGTTAACATGAGCCACACTCTGACCTCCTTTGGGACTTGGGAAGCATCAGCCTCCTGTAGGAAATGTAGGTCTGGTTTCATGTTTAATTATCTTCCTACTTTGTGTTGATCGTCTCTTATCCAAGCAGATGTAGAGCGAATCGTTCCAGGTAAAGACATTCAGGAGGGTCTGCCTTTCCTAACTTTGTACTTTTGCTTACCACAGCAAGGAGGGTTGAAAGTGAGGACAGGGTACAGACAGCAGGAGGCAGGGCTGGGCCAGTCAGCACAGCCAGGGGCTCTGGGCTGTGGCCAGCCCCCCCACCCTGGCCCTCTACCTTCAGAGGGAGGGGGGGTGGCCGGGGTCTCTCTGAGGCATAGCAGTTACTCGTCACTCTCTTGCTACCAATACACCAATTTTGTGAGCGGTCCCCACTTGGTGGACAAGCACCTATAAAATCCACACCCGTCGCAGCTTTCCACCTCCAGAGAAGTTTGGGGTAAGAATTTGAACATGAACAAGAATAAGAAGACGAAATAGATCTCCAGATGTGTCTTCCTCAGATGTCACAGGGGATGTTTGCAAGGTCCTGGGATGTGAACGATGTAATGCTGAGGAGCAGTGATTCCCTTGCTAGAGCTTAAAGTACAGAAGCAAGCCAGCTGCCCAGGGAGGTGACACCTCTAGGTGCCTTCCTGAAGACCGGCCTGTTGTGGGTCAGTGATGCCCAGGAATGGTAACACCTGGCACTTAAAAAAATATGTGTATACATTTAATACTTTTCGTTTCTCCTTAGGACTAAGACTTTAGAGCTGTTTTGTACTGTGAATTTCAAATGCTGTTGGAGGAAGGAAATAGCAATTTTAAAGTTCTTCGAAGCTGTGACCAGATTAAGCAGGACCACCCCCACCCCCCACCCCCCCACTGGAACGTATCTTAAATGTAGTCAGGCAAATTCTATTTTCTTACCTGAGCAAATATTTTACTGAGACTGCGTCTGTCTGTCAGAGGGGCACCCGACCCAGTTCACAACTTTTTGTATCGAACTCATCTTTTTTGTAGCTTTTATTCCACATTTAATTTAAAATGAATTTGTAGCACTAACATGCCTAGCAGAAGACTTGACTAGAACTTTAAGGAAATTTTTAGTTTTTATGAAAAATGACACTTCAGTGGTTAAACTTCTCAGTCTTTGCTGCTCCGGGCCTCGCAGCACCGCTAGACAACACCACAGCCACATGGAAACATATTTTTGGAAGCAAAACTTTAATTTTATACACATATGCTATGGAGAGTGAAGAAAATTTAAGGACTACTTGTTTTCTATTTTTTTCTTAGCAAAATGGAATCCACTGTGTTGAAGACTTATGTGATTGTTCAACCATTTTTTATAAATGAGCATAAGAGCTAGAATGACCACCTTCATTGAAAGGATTTGTTTGAAAAGTTACATTCTACTTGGAATTTTTTTGGTTTTTCAAATCAGGGTAACTATAAATGTGTCTGGTTGTTTGGCTTGTCTATTTTGTTTTGTTTTTAGCTATAATAATTGTGAGCCATGTAGAATTAACTGACATGATAAATTCCTCATGCATTTTATTTCCCCAATGAATTATGTAACTTTATTTTTTGTTGTTGAAGATCATATGTTTAATCAATGTATTTCTCATACCACTTCTTGAGAAGGAAGTTCAATTTGAAATTGTATCATTTCCTTCAAAATGAAGGGCAGTGCTTAGTTAAATAAAAGATTGATGACATCTTTTAAACCATTTCCTTTTCACTATGTCTTATTAAAATAAAATCTGTCAGGTCCTTCTGGAAAATGCTATGTGAGTTTCCCATAACCCATCTATTAGAGTTATCTGAATTGATAGCTTATATTTTTCTACTTGTGTATCTTTTTCTGCCTTTTTGTTTGTTTTGGTTCCAATCCAAGCCATTCGACTCACTGCAATTTTGCTGAGCGTATGGTTGTGTATCATCTTCACATTGCTCAGTAAACATTCTGATGAATTCATTGTGGGACTGACAGCCTTCTCTGCATTTACTTTGTAAGAATTAATCACCCATTGCTCCTCAGTTATCAGTGTTCATGAAAAATGTCTCATGAACATAAATTTTCAATATGCACTGATTCTCAGAATTAATGCAAACACTGCTAGAAATGATACATTTTGGAACCTACACTGGGGGGTTGGGTATTAAAAGCCCAGTGACCCATTTGCACCCTTGCTGATTCCAGACACCCAGAGAAAGGGGATAGGTAGGCTCACTGAGTAAATAGCGGAAGGGGCATGTGGCCAAGTGGAGGGGTGGCATAAGGAGGCATATAGGTGCCAGCAGGTGGTGAAGGAGCAGACGTGGCATGTGGGAGCCCAGACTGGCTTAGGCCAGCACCACGAGTTAGGGTCCAAAGCCTGGGCTTTGGAATAGGCTCCTGTAAGAAGTTTAACTAGGAAGAAAGTTGAATGCTCAATGTAGTAGCAACTTTGCTCCTACCAGTCATCCATTTCTCCTTGAGATTCCCTCTCATGCCTGTAGTCTAACTATTCATGAAACATTTAGCTCTGGGCCTGGTAAAGAAACCTCAAAGTTGGAGTGGGTGAGTGAATGTTAGGATTGGATTAGCAAGACCAAGGAGCCTTCCAATTACTCCTAGGTGATGTCAGGGGTACAGTTTTGAAGAAGGTGGAGCAGCCGTGGGTTCTTAAGAATGGATTGAGTGGGGAGTCAAATAATTCCTCCCCTCTCCTGGGACTGAGGGCTGTACTGCTGCTAATGCTACTGATGACTTAAATTGCCTGTTTATGAAGTGGAACATGAATCCAGGCCTTTGCCCAAAGCCAGTGAGGGGAGAAATGGTACAGGCCAGGCTGGATGAGAACAATTTCCCACAGGCCATCTGAATGTCTTCTTTAGAAAAATGTCTACTTAGATTGTTTGTCCAGCTTTTGATTAAGCTGCCTTTTGTTGTTGGACTGTGTAAGAACTTCGTGTATTTTGAAGATTAGCTCCTTGTCAGACAATACCTGGTAGGTGAGTAAGGCATTATGAACACAACTACGTTAAATGGCTAATTAGCTGCTAATTTCTCATAGAGCTGATCAGTTACATTCCCCAAAACTGAAGGGGTGTTCATTCACTGCAGTAAGGTGTCCCCTTATATTTAGCACCAACCATAGGCTGACTTTAGGCTCAGCCAACGATTCTATAAGGTGAGGAGTGCAGTTATCCTTCGT